GTCAGTAAGTGGAATAGTTTGGGAAGCGATGTAGTGGAGGCAGGATCCATACATAGCTTTAAGCAGAGGTATGATAAAGCTCACGGCTCAGGGAGAGTGACCTAGTAGCGATCAGTGAAGAGGCGGGGCCAGGAGCTCGGACTCGACCCCGCAACCTCAACTAGGTGAGTACACACACACACACACCCACACACACACACACCAACACCCACACACACACACCAACACCCACACACACACACCAACACCCACACACACACCCTCACACACACCCACACCCACACACACACCCTCACACACACCCTCACACACACCCTCACACACACCCTCACACACACCCTCACACACCCTCACACACACCCACACACACCCACACACACACCCACACACACACACACACACACACACACCCACACACACACACACACATGCACACACACACCCACACACGCACACCACACACACCCCACACATGCACACACACCCACATGCACACACACACACCCACACACACACACCCACACGCACACACCCACACGCGCGCACACACACACACACACACACACACACACAACACACACACACACACACACACACACACACACACACACACACACACACACACACACACATGCACACATGTGGTAATGCTTTATTTACAGCTAGCAAAGTCAGGGTATTTCTCCAGAATGGTCTGCAATATACCACTGTGGATAAAATACTTTGCCATTTCTTGAACATTTCTGAGTGAGTTGTTTCTAAATTCATTAATTTGATCACACTCCAGTACATAATGACGCAATGTGTGACAGTAGTCCATCTGGCAAAGTTTACATTTCGTTTGGTCTACATCTGGTGGTGGTGATTTAACCTGCCATAGATACTTGTAACCCAGCCGGAGCCGGGCAGTAGTGACATCCAAGAGTCTGCTTATCTTGTTGGATGCACCATAGACATGTGGCTCCTCCTGCATGATGGAATGATGATAGATGAACTGACTTGTGTCAATCTCCCTAAGTCTTAGGCCAATAAAGTTCATTTGAAGTTCTTTTCGTATTATTGTTCTCAAACTGCTAACTGACAACCCAAGATTGTAATCTACCCCCTCTTTGAAAGCATACAGCTTAGCCAATTTATCAGTTCTATCATGCATCTGAAGACCAATGTGAGATGGAATCCACAGCATGTGCACTCTGACTCCACTGTCCACAATCTTACCATATCTATGTCTGGCTTCTGACACAAGCATGCCACAATTTATTCTTAATGAGTTGAGAGCATTTATGGATGACAGAGAATCAGTTACAGTTAAAGAGTCAACCTTTGATACATGGACACCACATTTGAGTGCAAGGAGTATGGCAAACAGTTCTGTTTGAAGGGTAGAGGCCCAGTTATTGATGCGTGCTCCAATTTCTTTATGAGAGCCATCACTCTGTGTGACAACAGCAGCACTACCAGCTGCACCAGTGGACTGGTGAACAGAACCATCGACGTAAATAATTTGTGAAAGAGTGTTCTGTGTGACTAAGTTATCAATACAGCTTAAGGCATCATGTTTGGCTTCAAGACAAAGCTTTGGTTGTGATTTAAGAAGAGTTTTGGGGGGAAATGGAGGAATGGTAGTTTGGAATGGGGTAATATCCCATGGAGCAGGGAAATGTCTCTGTTGTCTAACTTGATATAGATCATGTAGCTGGGTTCATGTGGAGGTCGGTTCCAGTTTTTTCGATCCATCTGGAAGGATGTTCACCAGTGCTGAGGAAAGTTTGGAGGGCTTCTGTGCAGGGGTTTGAATGGGCTAGCCTAAGCATATTGACCCCAATAAGGATATTTCTTTCAGTAACACGATCTCTAATGCTTGGAATATTAAGTTCTTTCCGCATATTTAAAATTTTGGCAGTACGAGGGCATCCTAGGATGATCCTCATTGCTTCGTTTTGCAGTTTTTCCAGCCCTCCAAGCTTCCAGTCAGACACGAGTGCAAGTAGTGGCGCCGCATAATCAACCAATGATCTAATATAAGCAAGATACATCATTTTCACAATTTTAACATTAGCACCATACCTGGGATGAAAACCTGTCACAACTCTAAGTGCTCTCAGCCTTTCTTTGTATTGGCGACAAAGTCTCGTTACAACAGGTCCAAGTAGTGGAACCTCAAAGCCTAGATACCTGTATCTGCTTACATATTCTAGAAGAGACCCATCATGCAACTGGATCTGACGAACTGTGCCTCTCTGCCGAGGAGGACGCCTGTTGAGTATCTTTGTTTTATCCCATGAGATTATTAACCCCAGGTCCTGACACGAGGCTAGTACATGATTAAGAATGTTTTGGGTGTTGGAGAATCTGGTAGTGTGAATCATTATGTCATCAGCAAAACTAACCATATAATGATGGGGCTGGCTAGGCATGGCATTAAGTAAGGCATTAATCAAAATGTTGAAAAGGGTGGGACTAAGTACACCTCATTCTGAGAGAGTGTTTTCCAGGTCTTTTTTATATCTCCTCTTGTGTCAGTGAATCTACTGGAGTAGTATAGTTGTTTGGCTTTCTTTATTACTTTGGTGAGGACTGATGAATAGTGTTTAAGAATATCTTTGTGTATTAAGCCCTGTCTATATTGCTTTTCATATTGGTGTTTCTTATCAATGGATTTCAGAATGGTGCTGGTTAGCCATGGGCAACCAAGCCGTTTGTTTGTGATCTGTTTCGTTTTTATAGGACAATGTTTGTTGTATAGTCTAAGTAATTTGTTAAGAAAAATGTCTGTCCAGTCATTAATACCATTGGCCTTGGAGAATTCTGTAGGCCAGTCAACAGTCTCTAGGTCAGCTGTGAACTTCCTTATTGAGGCCTCATCATGGAGTCTAAATGAAACTTTGTTGTATTCAAGTGGTGGTTTACTAATGTTTGTCAAGAGGAAGGTAGGGTAGTGGTCTGTAGTGCTATCTGTGATTATCCCTGATTTAAGGGGGGCTAGTATATTGGTCCATATGTGGTCTATTATGGTTGCACTTGTTTCAGTGAGCCTGGTTGGTTTAGTTATTGTTGGTATGAGAAGTGTGTTGTTCATATTGTTGATGAAATCAGTTACAGGCTGATCATCTAGTAGGCCAAGGTTGATGTTGAAGTCTCCAGCTAAGAGAAGGTGGTGCTTATTCATTTGTCTGTTTGTTATTAGTGCCTTTAGTTTCTCACTGAAATTTGGGATGTTTGTGTGGGGTATCCGGTAAATGGCACCGATTGTTATAGGCGTCTTAAGGTTTTTTACAGTAAAATTAGCATGGTATGTATTGCTTTCCCTAACAATAATGTCCATCAGGGGTTCATCGAAGAACAACTGAAAGCATTCCAGTTCAGTGGGATTGTTCCCAAGTGTACATGATGGCCGTATTCCACTTTGTCCTCCATCAAAGTCATGGGGATTGGAAACAAACTCGTCATCTTGCTACCAATCCCTGATGCGGTCAGCTGGTGCGTTCTGGATATTGTAATGTGGTTGTGGTTGTGCAGGTTGTGGTTGTGGGAGTGTGGGGTCGGGTGAGACTGGTTGTAGTTGTGTCAGAGTCAGCGGGTAATAATGTGGCCCACTGCTGGTGTCACATGACTCATGCCACCATCACTATCACCACCACCGCCTGCTGCCTCACTCACATCATTTATACCCATCGTAACAATATCGTCATCTTCACTATCAGGACGTGGTGTAGGGCCACGGGATGTGCTCCGAGATGTACTCCTTCCTCTTGGAAAAGCATATGGCACACTACCAGACCGCATGCGACGTCGTATATACTGCCGCTTCACTGGGGAATATTCACCCTCACTGTCGCAACTAGAACTGCTTTCAATAACCTTGAAATCACTGTCACTATCACTTGCACTGCTCACATCTGAGTCTTGTACACGGGCAAATAGTTTCCTCTTTCATCCTGGTACAGGTGAACATGAACGAGCCGGCCCAACACCAGAGGTGGAAGGTTGTGGGTTATCTGAGTTTTCATCACTAATTATGTTATCCTGGGTAATTTTCTCGGTCACACCCGCTTCAAAACCAGGGAATTCACTTTCACTGACACTATCATCACTGTTTGAGCTATCACTTGGGAACAAAAGACCTCCAATCCGCCGAGGAGTGAGGAACTTCTTACCGCGAGGCATGGTGAAAATGGACTACCAAGATGGCATTCCCACAATGCGCCGCTGAGTCCCAGATTTTTTTCACAGGGTGCACACCGACCACTGAGACCCATTCTCTCTCGTTTAGGCCTACCAGCCCTCTCCTGCTTGATTTGAAGCCACTAGAATTTATGCGTATAGATACGTCAAACACGGTATCTCCCATGACGTATATATACGACCGCGACAGTCAAAGGGTTAAGTAGGATAAATCAGTGTTAAAAGTTTGAGCTGATCAGGAGAGAGTTTCTCAAGTTAGCAGCACTGATTTTTAAAAATTTGACTAGCAGACACCTGCATATGTTAATGCTGTAGTTACTTAAAGCTTTCCTGTGTTAGATTACACCTATATTAAAAATTTAAACCTAATTAGCTCAGGCACTGGCAAGTTATAAACAAAAACCTTGGAAGAAAAATACAGATATTGAAAAGGGATGTGTTAACTACTTAATCCAGTTACCCTGTGAGGGACATGCCAGTAAATATGTTCATTTAGGTACAAGTACATACGTATAAGTAAAATTATCATACATAGCAACATATGTGTAAATTACCTAGGATAACCCCCCCCTTAAAAAAAAAAAAGTCGAAGTGACTTATTTCCATTGGAGTCCTTATAGTATCTTATTGTCAACTGTAAACTTTTTTAATGAGGAATGCAGTGCTGTATGACCCTGGTGGGTTTAGTGCTTCTTTTTTATTGTAATAATAATTGCATGAGGAACCTCAAACTGAGTATACAGTACCTCTAATTGTTCATTTAATCAGATTGTAATAAAAATTTTTATAATGAAGTATTTTCATCACATTTACAGGTCTTCAAAGAAAATGAGCGGTAGAGGAAGAAAGAACAGTGGTAGAAGAGGACTGGTAAGAATTTATCTTAATTTCTTAATACAGTTAACACTTGCACATATTCCATTTTTATAGGAAAATAAGGGTCACAAAAAAATTTCAAATCACTTTACTTATCTTTTTTCTTAACTTTGATATTGACAAAACTTCTTTTATATATACAGTTCAAATTGGGATTTGTGCATTACATTTTTATGTGTCTTTGTTTATGTAAGGTATAAATTTTTAATAAAATTTTCTTAACGTGAGTTTCCTGAAGTAAACCTACCTACATCATGCACTGAGAAGCAGTTTGCTTCTCTAGGTAATTATTTTCTTGTAGATAAAGAGCAAGAATATGTTTTTGTAGTTGTTGTACTATTAACCCAGAGCTAAAACTGAAAGGATTCATATTTGATCATTTCTGAGTGCAGCCACTACTTCCTGCCCCCAAGACTTGAGTAAGACTGAGTTGTTCTGAATCTTTCATAAATGTTACTTTCTTCGCACTCCAACAGCACATCTGCTTTGAAAAGGACTTGTCTCCATTTGTGTCAAACAAGCTTCAGGATGCTCAAGCTCCTACCACTCAAAACCTCCTTTACATCCTTTTCACGAATCACAAAATCATGATAACACGATTGCAAACAAACATTGGTACAGGTGAGGATCGAACTCATGGCAGGTGAGTCATAAAACTCCAGGCCACTGCATAAGCCACTGGGCCAGCTGGCTACAATAAGATTCATCTACAGTAAGATTCCTCGAACTCATGGCAAGTGAGTCATAAAACTCCAGACCAGTGTGTAAGGCACTGGGGCCAGCTGGCTACAAAAAGATTCGTCTTATTGTAGCCAGCTGGCCCAGTGCCTTATGCACTGGCCTGGAGTTTTATGACTCACTTGCCATGAGTTTGAGTCCCACTCATTCTGTGGTTAATCCTTGTCACATCTTGGAAGGATGAAGGAGGTTACAGTATATTGTTTGTTTTTTGTAAACTTAATTGTAAAGCTGTCCAGTAATAATAAGTTAATTTTGAGGCTGCCCATAATGCCCTATTGGAGTCAGTGGAGACGTGTCTTTTAGGGTTTGACATGTTATTAAATTATGAGCAAGGTAACACACTATTTATGAAGGGATGAAGGAAAACCAGTCAGCTGGATTTGAGTCCTGGAGGTGGGAAGTACTGTGTCTATTCTGAAGGCCTGAAGGATGGGTGTGGATGTTGCAGTTTAGAGGGTCATTTGAAATGTTATGTCTACATGCTTCTGGCACAATGGCTATTAACCCTTTCAGGGTCCATCCTGTAGATCTACGGCTTTACGTTCAGGGTCCAAACCATAGATCTACGTCATGAGCTCAGCTCACTCTGATAAACTGTGAGTGGTACATTTGGGCCTAGATATGAAAGAATACATCTATGTGGTATGTGTGCACCACATAAAACAAATCCTGCAGCACACTGTGTATAATGAGAGAAAAAAACTGAAATCATGATTTTTCGATTAAAACAGCGACTTTGCAGTGTTTTTTCGTATGTTTTTTATAGTTTTATTTGCGATTTCTTGGTCTCATTTGATAGAATGGAAGACATATTACAGAAATAGAGATGATTTTGATTGGTTTTAGCACTGGAAATGGCTTGAAACTGAGCTCAAAGTAACGGAAATGTTAAATTTTTGCTGATATTCAAGAGTAAACAAACGACCTCACACGGTCTAATACACATCAGCTGGTGGGTCTAATATGTATTCACAAATATGGTGATGATATTTATACAATTATTACAGTATTGCATAACAGTAAATCTTCTGTTTTTTGGTGTGAATAAAATTCATTATGTGAATAAAAAATCAAAATGGAATTTATTTGTAAAGCCTCAAAGCATAACTAATGAACAGAAAAAATGTTAGTTTAGTTCCAGGAATACCTACATTGTTTATTCTGGACCCTATTTTGAAATTGGAATATTTTGAACTTTGTGTTAAATTGGCCAAATTAACAATTTCTTATCACTTTATTTTGTAGTTGAAACAGTTGACTTGGCGATTTCTTGTGCTCAATCGATAGAATAGAAGTAATACTAGTGAAATAGCTAAGAATTTGATTGACTGGAATAATGTAATTGGCCTAAAATGGGAGTCAAAGTCGGCAAAATCGCCGATTCGTAAATATCGCTGACACATCAAAATTCGTGAGAGCATAATTTCGTCAATTTTCCATTAAATTTCGTACTTTTTGTTTTATTACCTTCACAAAAAGAATCTCTGCCATTTCATAAGAAAAAATAACAAATTTTTTTTTTGAAAATTCTTGGACACTGGGGCACCACTTCAGATTTGGGCCTTGGACCCTGAAGGGGTTAAATGAATGATGGTGAATGTTTCTTTTTTTTTTATGTGGGGAGGGGGGGAGGAGACTGCTTTGGTGAGAGATGGCTGATGTTGTAGAAGGAAACACATAATAAAAAATGAAGTCTTTATAACATGAGAATGTTATAATTTTAGCATTTTAATTTTAACCTTGCATTTTATCACATAGTCTTAGCTTCCAGAGACAGTCATACTTGATTGTTTACTTAGTTATGACTATAAAATTAATAATTTTTGCTGATATTATTGACCACCCTAAGGATGGTTGTCTTTAAATGCATGTAAAGCCCTGCCAAGTCCTTATGATAAGTTATAAAAGGAAGTTTGATAAGTCATCACATCTTACTGTGAATTTTTTTTATCTTGTGACCAGTGACTATTTAAATCCTCATACACATTATCAGAACTCTTCTGGATAGTTTCCTCATCCATCAATTAAAGAAGTTTTCCCATAGGAATTAATACATGCATTGATCATTAATCATAAATTTTGAGTATTCACACTACCCATACAGAGTAGAACCCCCGTATCCACTGATTCGGTATCCACGGTTTCAGTTATCTACGGTTTACTGTGGCCCGAAAATACCTCTTAATTTTGCATAATAATGGCCCCAATGTGCAAGAGTAAAGAAGCTGACAGTTCTTCAAAGCCTAAGAGAGGCCATGAAGTACTTCCCATCAGTGAAAAAGTGATAATTCTCCACTTACTGTGCATAATTTATCAGTTAAACTTTATAATAGCTATGTGTAGGACTTACATATAGGGTTTGCTACTATACGTGGTTTTGGTGTCTAAGAAACTTATCCCCCGTGGATACAGGGGTCCTACCGTATATGGATTTGTTTGTGAATAAAAAGTTTACTTCAGGATTCTTATTTTGATATTGTTTCTTTTAGGGTTCCTGCTGTAGCTTAGATCAAAATCCGTATAACTCAGAGGGCAATGGAACACCAAATAGAGCCACTAAGCCACACCAGAAACGGCGTCAGAGTGAAGGAGATAGCAGTCCACGCTCTGCAGATAGACAAGATCAAACAATTTCAGGACAGGAAGTTACCCATTGGTCTTATTATCATGATGGAAATGTGAAAATTCCAGAGATCTGTGTTTACTCTATTGACAAGCGTTGCATGTATGAAAAAAGTGGATGCGTAAGACTCCATGCTAAATGTACAAGTCAGTGGCAGGTGATGCATCGTGGTAATTGGTATAATATGCGAAATTTTCACTCAAAAGAAATTGAGGATGCTTTTGAGGATGTGACAAAAGATTCTGTAAAATTAACTATTTTGAATCCACAAAAAGTGGGAAATAGTGGTACTGGAATGATAAAGATTCTTGGAACTAAACAATGGGAAGCGGTTTTTGAAACTATGATGCTGAAATGTCTCACAACTGATGGTTCTCCAAATACCATGATGAATATTCGTAGATTATCAACACAGTCAGCAGCCATATCAAAGAGTGGCAAGGCAACTCTGTATGAATGGTTCTTTCAAGATGAACAAAAAAAATGGATTAAATATGGTGAAACTAACAGCTTGGGGATGACACATTTAGTTTCCTCGGTAAAATCAGATGAAATTGAGCAAAACTTTTGTACAAATCCCTCTTCCCCATTGATTTTCAGTAACTCATTGTTTACATATCAGTTGGATTTTGCAGCAATGAAGCAAAAAAATTTGAAAACTGGCAAGGAAAAATCAGTGCGACGGCGGCCTGTTAAAAAGCAAAGCACAAAACCAAACCCAGTTGTCAAGAAAGACAATTTGCCTTCTGCATGGTCTGTTATGAAGGATACAGATATTGTGATTCAGGTAGCATTGGACACATCCTGCGTAGAATACCGTGATATTATGACTCGGTTGCTGGCCACTCTCCCTTCTGCTCGAGCAAGAACAGTAAAGAGGATTCAGAACCCCTTTTTGTGGCGGGCTTTCGAAAACAAGAAACAAGAATTGTCTCTTAAATATGGTGTTAAAGAAGAACTAAATGTTCAGAAAATGTTCCATGGAACAAGATCTGAGCATGTAAATGATATCTGTAAAGAAAATTTTGATTATAGGTTGCATGGCACAAATGTTGGACATGCATATGGCAAGGGTACCTACTTCTCAAACAGGTGAGAATTAATGCATGGTTTTCTATATACTGCATGGTGTGATGATTGATTTATTTACGGGTTTGTGGCTTGGTTGGTAGCATCTTCAGCTCACATACTAAAGGTCTGGGATCGATCCCTGGCACAGGTGAAATGCTGGCCATGGCTCCTTACACCTGCTGCCCCTGTTCACCTAACAATAAGTAGGCACCTGGGTGTTAGCTAACTGTTGTGGGTGGCATTCTGGGGGAATGGCTTAAAGTGCTCTGCATAACCAGGGCCATGTTGTCAGCTAGGTATCATGTACGTACTTGTAAAAATAAAGCTTATTATTATTTAGTATGTAATGATTGGTTAATTTAATTACTAGTGTATGATTTATTTATTTAATTACTGTGATTTGTTTATTTCCTAAACTGTATGTAATGACTTTGTTTTATTTTATATACTGCATTGTATTTTATTTCTGTTCAGTATGTGTATTATGTATCATCAGTGCTGTACAGAAAAACCTGTGTAGCCTTTATAGAGACAAAGCACAGAGACTTGCACAGAGAACAGTACACCAAGTTGGTGCATTGTTTTCTGTGAATGTTCTGGCCAATGATATATCACAGATTACCTTTCCTCAGTTTGCTCCAGTTGGTGAGGAGGGGTTTCTGGGATATATCACGGGTCTTGAGACATGTTGTACTTTGGATCCTATAAATGTCCTATTTTTTTATAAATGTGCTGATAAATCATTGTTTTGAAAGTGGATATTTTTTACAATCAGTGAAGGAAGCTTTGGTTTGATCACTGCTCAAGAAGACTTATCTTGTTTCAGAAAATATGGTCCTTTATAAATTCATTACATGTGTTTTTTTAAACCAAATGTTTCCCTTTCTGCAGCAGAGTAATGTTTTACTATTTGTACAGTCTGTGTATAGACTATTGCATTCAATGGAGATGGCTTTGTGTAAAGTTCATGACGATTTGGTACTGAGCTCTTGTTTTGGAAATGTGTTGCTGCTAATTTTGTTGGACCTCTGTGCTGCATATGATCCCATTGATAGAATTACTAAGTGATCTTTTGGCTATGGCCTTAGGGATGCTGCTTTGTCACTTCTGAAAGCTGTATCTTTCTGGTCGGTGATATTAAGTAGTAGGCAGTGACTATCTGAGCCATCTCCTTTGCCCTATTATTATGGCTTTTCTCAGGTCTGTTTTTCAACATATTTTCTCTTTATTTTAGTAGCTTAGCCTTATTTTTGGATGCTCATGGGGTTGATTATTATTTTTAAGCATTTGGGTTCTGTGTGCAGAAGACAAAACTGCTTTAGCTCTCTTCTGTTGCATATTCAGACTTTGATGACAAATAGAAAACAAACTAAATGTGGGTAAAACAGAGATTTTCATTATCAGGGGAAATCTCAGGAAATAACAGGAAATAACTATTAAAATTATTTTTGTTAAATATTTGCTTATTTATGAACATAAGAAGAGTGATGCACAGCAGTAGGCCTTCTAGGCAGTTCCTTCTCAGACTCAACTCTTCTCACTCATATATTTGTCCAATGTATTTTTAATGCTATCCAATCTCAGCTACAGCAACTACTTGGCAGCTTTACCCACTGATTCACAACTCTGTTACCAAACTAATGTTTTTCTGTAATCTAAGTTAACCCCTTCAGGGTCCAAGGCCAAAATCTGAAGTGGTGCCCCAGTGTCCAAGAATTTTCCAAAAAAAAAAAATTTTTATTTTTTCTTATGAAATGGTAGAGAATCTTTTTGTGAAGGTAATAAAACAAAAAGTACGAAATTTGATGGAAAATTGACGAAATTATGCTCTCGCGAATTTTGATGTGTCAGCGATATTTACGAATCGGCGATTTTGCCGACTTTGACTCCCATTTTAGGCCAATTACATCATTCCAGTCGACCAAATTCTTAGCTATTTCACTAGTATTACTTCTATCGACTGAGCACAAGAAATCGCCAAGTCAACTGTTCCAACTACAAAATAAAGTGATCGGAAATTGGTAATTTGGCCAATTTAACACAAAGTTCAAAATATTCCAATTTCAAAATAGCATCCAGAATAAACAATGTAGGCATTCCTGGAACTAAACTAACATTTCCTCTGTTCATTAGTTATGTTTTGAGGCTTTACAGATGAATTCCATATTAATTTTTATTCACATAAGGAATTTTTATTCACACCAAAAAATAGAAGATTTACTGTTATGCAATATCGTAATAATTGTATAAATATCATCACCACATTTGTGAATGTATATTAGACCCACCAGTTGGCGTGTATTAGACATGTGAGGTCGTTTGTTTACTCTTGAACATCGGCAAAAATTTAACATTTCCGCTAATTTGAGCTCAGTTTCAAGCCATTTCCAGTGCTAAAACAAATCAAAATCATCTCTATTTCTGTAATATGTCTTTCATTCTATCAAATGAGACCAAGAAATTGCAAATACAATTATAAAAAACATACGAAAAAACACTGCAAAGTTTTAATCGAAAATCTTGGTTTCAGTTTTTTTTCTCTCATTATACACAGTGTGCTGCAGGATTTGTTTTATGTGGTGCACACATACCACATAGATGTATTCTCTCATATCTAGGCCCAAGTGTACCACTCACAGTTTATCAGAGTGAGCTGAGCTCATGACGTAGATCTACGATTTGGACCCTGAACGTAAAGCCGTAGATCTACGGGACGGACCCTGAAAGGGTTAATCTAATATAATTCTCTTATTTAGCATTTTTTCTTGATTACATATCCACAGTTCTCAATTCATATTTCCTTTATTTATGCCTATCTTTCACTTGTACTGTATACTTGAGGAAGAGGTGGTGGTGGTGGCAGCTGTGGCTGTTGCCTCAGTGGATGATGCTGGACCTATGGCTGCTGCTGCTGTTAGGGTTCTTCTTGTTTTATAGCATAGATCACCTGAAGTTTTATGACTGGTAAAATAGTTAAATACAATTATCAGGTTGGCAAATATTGGGTAGGCAGCTATTTTATTTTGTACCCAAAATAACCTAGCAACATATCCTAACTTTTCTAAAATTTATGGGACATAATATTTCTTGATTGATTTACCTAATCTAAGAATTTCCTGAGAATGGAAGAAACTTGAATTGATCAAAAAGTGTTGAAATAAGAGAAATTACAAAATTCTTAATCTCTCTCCCACAGTGCTGCTTTTTCTCTGAAATATTCACCACCTGACAGTTTTGGCTACCAGTATCTGTTCCTGGCTGAAGTAATCATCGGAGAAGTGGTACAAGGAAATGCATCCATGACTCGCCCACCCAAAAATCCTGTCACTGGTGAGTTGTTCAATACAACAGTAGATAGCATGAGTTCACCAAAAATCTTTGTTAAGTATGACATGCAAGAATATTATCCTCTGTATATTATAGCACTTACTAAAGATAAAATCTAGAAGACTGCTTATCTGTTACATAACCCAGGGAGCAATAATTTCTGCAAATACTTTTATGAAACTTCTAAATTTTATTACTGTAAAATAGATGTTATTTTTCAGTTATAGTGAAAGAATTAATTTTTTAAAGTTTAATTAACCGAAGGTACCTTTTTGGGTTTAGTGTTTACCTTTATTTTTATTATAATAATAAGAATAATTAAATACAGTAGATGAAATTATAAATTAATTAAAAGTAAGAATTAAGGGTGCTCAAATATGTGTAAGTGGATGTGACCTGGACCTGATTAGGTTGGGTTAGTACCTTGAGCCAGTAGGGGACTTGGACTTGCCTCACATGGGCCAGTAGGCCTGCTGCAGTGCTCCTTCTTTCTTGTGTTCATACAAAGTTTCCATTATTCAGTTTGTGTGTGCATTTGGGGAGATGATTCTGATCTGTGGTGATGGAGATAAATGGTATAAAATACCGACACGATGGAAAAAACACAAATGCAGTATAATGCGATTCGTTATTGACAATGTTTTTGCCCACACAGTGGGCTTTATCACGTCACAAAGAGATCAGTTTGTGAGTTTCTAAATAAAAGATCACGTTATACTGCATTTGTTTATTTTTCTATCTATGGTGGTATTAGTATAATGAGAATGGTCATTATAGCATTTTTTTATTATTACAGTATTATTATTATTTTTAACACCTGCCATCTTCCATCAAGGTACGACGAGTCCGTAAAGGAAGAAACAAATATAAATACTTTATTTCTTTTATGCAGTATACAATTAATATAGTTTACATGTAATAAAATATTTTTGGGCACAAAAGAAAGGTACTAGCATGCAGTGCATTTTAGGTAAATTAGTCCTAGTGCTTAATGCTACTTAAAAACTAGACACAGTTTATTAAATAGGAGTTACTAAATGTACAGAAGAAGGTGGTTAAATGAGCAATAGTACAATTTTAAAAGTATTCACTAATACTTCAGACTGATTTAATGATCTTCAGTTAAGTAGGATTTCTTAAGCAGTTAACTAGAGGTGCCCTATGACTTGGTTGGTAGCGCACCCAGCTTGTGTACTGAGTGCCCGTGGTTCGATCCCCAGCCAGGTGGAAACGGGCACGTTTTTTTGCACCTGCTGTCCCTGTTCACCTAACAGTAAGTAGGTACCTGGGTGCTAGCCAACTGTTGTGGGTCACATCCTGGGGGGTGATAGTATGCCTTAACCCTTTCACTGTTAAGACCCCTGCTCACAAACTTGCTCTCAGTGTCGAAGAATTTAAAAACAAAAAATTCTTATGAAATGATAGAGAATCTTTTCCAGATGGTAATGACACCAAAAGTATGAAATTTGATGGAAAACTTACAGAATTACACTCTCGCGAACTTAGTAGTCTCGGTGATATTTACACATCTCCAATTTTGCCCACTTTGAGCCCTATTTTCAGCCAATTACATTGTTCCGGTCGACCACACTCATAGCTATTTCGCTAGAACTCCATTTGTTCTATCGATTGAGTACAAGAAACCGCCCATTTACTGATTTCAACTACCCGGTAAAGTGATCAAAAATTGGTAATTTGGCCAATTTCATAAGCAATTCAAGTAAGGCCAATTTCAAAATAGGGCCCAGAATAAACAATGCAGACATTCCTAGCATTAGAATAACATTTTCTCAGTTCATTAGTTACATCTCCAGGCCCCTCTTATATTTAGCTTGCTTTCCATTTTGAATTTTTATTCACACAAAAAATAGAAGATTTACTGTTATGCAGACTTGCATTATTGTAAAAATGGCATAGATAATATCAGCACTTTTTTTTTCTTTTCAACAAGTTGGCCGTCTCCCACTGAGGCAGGGTGACTGAAAAAGAAAGAAAATTCCCAAAAAGAAAATACGTACTTTCATCATCATTCAACACTTTCACCTCACTCATACATGATAACTGTCTTTGGAGAGGTGCCCAGATACAACAGTTTAGACACATATGTGAAGATGTATAACATATCCCTCCAAGCTGCCAGTATCCTAAACCCCTCCTTTAAAGTGCAGGCATTGTACTTCCCATTTCCAGTACTCAAGTCCAGCTATATAAAAATAACTGGTTTCCCTGAATCCTTTCACTAAATATTACCCTGCTCACACTCCAACAGCTCATCAGGTCCCAAAAATTATTTGTCTCCATTCACTCCTATCTAACAGGCTCATGCACGCTTGCTGGAAATCCAAGCCCCTTGCCCACAAAACCTCCTTTACCCCTTCCCTCCAACCTTTTTCAGGACAACCCATACTGTGCTTTCCTTCCCCTACAGATTTATACACTCTCCATGTCATTCTGCTATGATCCATTCTCTCTAAATGACCAAACCACCTCAACAACCCCTCTTCAGCTCTCTTGACTAATACTTTTATTAACTCCACACCTTCTAATTTCCACACTCTGAATTCTCTGCATAATATTTACACCACACATTGCCCTTAGAGAGAACATCTCCACTGCCTCCAACCACCTCCATGCTGCAGCATTTACAACCCAAGCTTCACACCCATATAAGAGTGTTGGTACTACTATACTTTCATACATTCCCCTCTTTGCCTCTACAGATAGTTTTTTGTCTCCACATAATCCTCAATGCACCACTCACCTTTTTTCCTTCATCAATGTTATGGTTAACCTCATCCTTTATAAACCATCCGCTGACATGTCAACTCCCAAATATCTGAAAACATTCACTTCTTTCATACTCCGTCTCTCCAGTGTGATATCCAATTTTTCTTTATCTAAATTGTTTGATACCCTCATCGCCTTACTCTTATCAATGTTCACTTTCAACTTTCTACCTTTACACACCCTCCCAAAGTTGTCCACTAACCTTTTCAACTTTTCTTTAGAATCTCCTATAAGCACAGCAAAAAGTAACTGTCAACTCACATTTTGTACTTGATTTTAATCCCACCCCTCTCCCCAACATCCTAGCATTTACCTCTTTCACAACCCCATCTGTAAGTATATTAAATAACCATGGTGACATTATACATCCCTGACTAAGACCTACTTTTACCAGGCAGTAATCTCCCTCTCTCCTACACACCCTAACCTGAGCCTCACTATCCTCATAAAAACTCTTTATAGCATTTAGTAACTTACTACCTGTTCCATACACTTGCAACATCTGCCACATTGCTCCCCCATCCACTCTATCACACACCTTTTCTAAATCCATAAATGCAATGAAAACTTCCCTACCTTTATCTAAATACTGTTCACATATATGCTTCAATATAAACACTTGATCTACACATCCTCTACCCACTCTAAAGCCTCCTTGCTCATCTACGATCCTACTCTCTGTCTTTCCTCTGATTCTCTCAATAATAACCCTACCGTACACTTTTCCTGGTATACTTAGTAAACTTATTTTTACAATCTCTATTGTCCCCCTTCCCTTTATGTAAAGGAACTATACACGCTCTCTGCCAATCTCTAGGTACCTTCCCCTCTTTCATACATTTATTAAACAGAAATACCAACCACTCCAACACTATATCCCTCCCTGCTTTTAACATTTCTGTCATGATCCCATCAGTTCCAGCTGCTTTACCCCCTTTCATTCTATGTAATGCCTCATGCACCTCCCCCACACTCACATCCTGCTTTTCTTCACTCCTAAAAGATGTTATACCTCCCTGGACAGTGTATGAAATTACTGCCTCCCTTTCTTCATCGACATTTAAAAGTTCCTCAAAATATTCCTGCCATCTACCCAATACCTCCATCTCCCCATCTACTAACACCCCTACTCTGTTTATAACTGACAGATCCATTCGTTCCCTAGGTTTTCTTCACTTGTTTATCTCCAAATTTTTTTCTTATTTTCTGCAAAATTTCTTGACAGTGCCTCTCCCATTCTATCATCTGCTCTCCTTTTACACTCTCACCACTCTCTTCACCTTTCTTTTACTCTCCACATACTCTGCTCTTCTTATAACACTTCTGCTTTGTAAAAACCTCTCATAAGCTTCCTTTTTTCTCTTTTATCACACCCTTTACTTCATTCCACCAGTCACTCCTCTTTCCTCCTGCACCCACCCTCCTATAACACAAACTTCTGCCCCACATTATAATACTGCATTTTTAAAACTATTCTAATGCTCTTAAACCCCCTCCTCCCACTACTCATTTTTGCACTAGCCCACCTTTCTGCCAATAGTTGCTTATATCTCACCCCAACTTCCTCCTCCCTTAGTATATACACTTTTACCTCTCTCTTACTTGCTGTTGCCATTTTCCTTTTGTCCCATCTACCTCTTACTATAACTGTAGCTACAGCTAAATAATAATATGATATATCAGTTGCCCCTCTATAAACATGTACATCCTGAAGCCTACCCATCAACCTTTTGTCCACCAATACATAATCTAACAAACTACTTTCATTACGTGCTATATTGTACCTTGTATACTTATTTATCCTATTTTTCATAAAATATGTATTACTTATTACCAAACCTCTTTCTACACATAGCTCAATTAAAGACTCCCCATTTTCATTTACCCCTGGAACCCCAAATTTACCTTCTTCCTTCACAATATTTTTGCCCACTAGATTCAAAACTCCCAACACACTTACTCAACATTTCCCAAAATCTCTCTCTCTCCTCTACACTTCTCTTGTCTCCAGGTGCATAAACGCTTACTATAACCCACTTTTCACATCCAACCCTTATTTTACTCCACATAATCCTTGAATTTATACATTTATATTCCTTCTTTTCCTGCCATAACTTATCCTACAACATTATTGCTACTCATTCTTTAGCTCTAACTCTATTTGAAACCCCTTTTAAACTTTGTTTCACTTAATGCCAGGACATCCAGCTTCTCCTCATTCATAACATCCAATCATCTCTTTCTTATTCACACAACATCCACGCACATTCAAACATTCCACTTTGACAGTTTTCTTCTTTTTCTTCTTAGTAGGATTACTAGCCCATTGTTCCCGGCATTTTAGTTGACTTTTACAACACACATGGCTTATGGAGGAAAGATTCTTATTCTACTTCCCCATGGATATAAAAGGTAAAGCAATAAGAACAAGAACTATTAAGACAAAATCAAAGAAAACTCAGATGAGTGTGTATACATAAACGTATACATGTGTGTGTAGTGTGACCTAAGTGTAAGTAGAAGTAGCAAGATATACCTGAAATCTTGCATGTTTATGAGACAGAAAAAAGACACCAGCAACCCTACCATCATGTAAAACAAATACAAGCTTCCTTTTTACACCCACTTGGTAGGATGGTAGTATCTCCCTGGGTGGTTGCTGTCTACCAACCTACTACTTATCAGTGCATTTGTGAAAGCATATTAGACCAACCAGTTCATGTGTATTGGACGTGTGGTGTGATTTGTTTACTCTTGAACATTGGCAAAAATTGAACATTTCTGCTACTTTCAGCTCAATTTCAGGGTACTTTTAGTCCGAAAACCCATTCAAAATTATCTCTATTTCTGTAATATATCTTCCATTCTATTAAATGAGACCAAGAAAACGAGAATACAACCATAAATACTGTACAAAAATGCACCATTAAGTCGCTGTTTTAAACCAAAAACACGGTCGGAGTGTTTTTTCCTCATTATGCACTGCGTGCTGCAGGATTTTTTTTTATATTGCATACACTGACCACTCACACCCATTCTCTTATATATGTAGGCCTACCAGCTTTCTCCTGCAAGATTTGAAGCCACTAGAATTTTGGCATAATATTACGGGACCGACACTGGCTTGCAAGCCATAATATTACGGGACTGACAGTGATAGGGTTAACGCTTTGAGGGTCCAAGAATTTTCTCAAAAAAAAAAAATTCCTGTGTTTTCTAATGAAATTGTAGAGAATCCTTTTATGAAGGTAATAAAACAAAAAGTACGAAATTTGATGGAAAAATTGATGAAATTACACTATTGCGAATTTTACTTCGTCAGCGATACAGTGGACCCTCGGTTATTGGCCATAATCTGTTCCAGAAGCTTGGCCAAAACCAAAATGGCCGAGAACCGAAATAATATTTCCCATAAAAATTAATGGAAATACAGTTAATCTGTTCCAGACAAAAATCTTCACAAAAAAAAAAAATTATGACAATTATATAAGTACATGTATTACATACTTTTATTGAAGACTAATTCTGGCTTCTGGAAGATAGGGAGGAGGAAAGAGGGAGGAGTTTGTGTTTGGAAGGAGAATCCCCCTCCATATGGACTTCAGGTAACAAGTCCTTTTCCAGGGTTACTTCCCTTCTTTGTCTTTTAATGCCACTAGGACCAGCTTGAGAGTCACTGGACCCCTGTCACACAACAAATCTGTCTATAGAGGTCTGTTTCTGGTGTCTCTCCAAGATTTCCCTGAAGTGGGACAGGGTTTTGTCACTGAACATGTTGCAGATATGGCTTGTTTCCTCTTGGTCAAGGTGGTATTTCTCCACAAAAGCTTGCACCCTAGTCCACATTGCACACATTTCTTTAATCTCTGAAGAAGGCACCTCCTTCACTCCCTCTTCCTCCTCTGAAGCAGGTTCCTCAGCTGCAGTCTGTTGCTGTTTGAGTTGAAGGTCTTGCAGCTCTTCAGTGGTTAGCTCTTCCCTGTGGTCCTCCACCAACCCTTCCACATCCTCGCTACTCACCTCCATCCCCACAATAGAGTCCACAGGGTCAGCTTCATACCCTTTAAAATCCATTTTTTGGACACAACCTGGCCACAATTTTCTCCAAGCAGAGTTCAAAGTCCTGAAAGTCACTCCCTCCCAGGTCAACTGAGTGTCCAAGGTCATTTCAAAATACTTTTGAAACATTGCTTTTGTGTAGAGTTTTTTGAAGTTAGAAATGACTTGCTGGTCTATGGGCTGGAGGAGAGGAGTGGTGTTAGGAAGCAAGAACTTCAATGTGATGAAACTGAAGTCCCTAAACACCTGGTCTTCTAAGTCTGGAGGATGTGCAGGAGCATTGTCTAATACCAGGAGGCACTTGAGTGGCAATTTCTTTTCCAAGAGGTACTTTTTCACACTTGGGCCAAACACATCATTAACCCACTCTTTGAAAATTTGCCTTCTGACCCATGCCTTATGATTAGCTTTCCACATCACACACAAACTATTCTTGACGACATTGCTTTTCTTGAACACTCTGGGATTCTCTGAGTGATACACCAATAAAGGCTTCACTTTAAAATCCCCACTAGCATTACCACACAACAAAAGAATAAGCCTGTCTTTCATAGGCTTATGCCCTGGCAGTGCCTTTTGCTCCTGCGTGATGTAGGTCCTGTTTGGCATTTTCTTCCAAAACAGGCCTGTTTCGTCACAATTGAACACATGTTGGGGTTTGAATCCTTCAGCCTTTATGTACCCCTAGAATTCCTGCACATACTTTTCAGCCGCACATTTGTCAGAACTTGCAGCCTCTCCATGCCTTACAACACTGTGTATGCCACTATGTTTCTTACATCTGTCAAACCAGCCTTTGCTGGCCCTAAATTCACTACCAGCAGCACTTTGTTCCAGGGGTTTTCTGTAGAAGATCCTTATGTAACTGCCTTGCCTTCTCACATAATAGATTCCACAACACTGTCTCCCACTAATTCTTTTTCCTTAATCCACAATAATAACAACTTTTTCATCTCTTCCATTATTGGTGACCTTTGTTTCGTTAGAAAAGTTGCTCCTTTTGCAACATTAGCGTCCTTGATTTGTTCTTTTTTTGCCAAGATGGAAGTTCCAGCACTCGCACACCACTCTCATATTTTTCAGTCACTTCACACTTAAATTCCATGGTGCTTTTCACTTTCTTTGCCACAGGAACTTTCTTTGGAGCCATGGTTACTTATTTCACAGTTGCACTTCAAAAAAACTACCAAAAACAGTGGATAACAAGCAGAAGCTTCCTCACCCACCGAGAGAGACAGCTAAACTGATGAGCAAGCTGCCCCAGCTGGTGGATGGATGCACCCCAAACGGCCGATCACTGAAATAACGGCTGATCACTGGAAGCCGGAAAACCAGCCGATCACCGAGTTGGCCGATAACCGAGGGTCCACAGTACAGTGGAACCTCAAAAATCGAACTTTCTTCGGTCCAGAAGTCTGTTCGATTGCCTTTACCGAATGAATTTATTCCCATCAGGAATAATGTAAATTAGATTAGTCCATTTCAGACCCTTAACCCTTTGACTGTTGTTATTATTTTTTTATTATCACACCGGCCGATTCCCACCAAGGCAGGGTGGCCCGAAAAAGAAAAACTTTCACCATCATTCACTCCATCACTGTCTTGCCAGAAGGGTGCTTTACACTACAGTTTTTAAACTGCAACATTAACACCCCTCCTTCAGAGTGCAGGCACTGTACTTCCCATCTCCAGGACTCAAGTCCGGCCTGCCAGTTTCCCTGAATCCCTTCATAAATGTTACTTTGCTCACACTCCAACAGCACGTCAAGTATTAAAAACCATTTGTCTCCATTCACTCCTATCAAACACGCTCACGCATGCCTGCTGGAAGTCCAAGCCCCTCGCACACAAAACCTCCTTTACCCCCTCCCTCCAACCCTTCCTAGGCCGACCCCTACCCCGCCTTCCTTCCACTACAGACTGATACACTCTTGAAGTCATTCTTGTTCGCTCCATTCTCTCTACATGTCCGAACCACCTCAACAACCCTTCCTCAGCCCTCTGGACAACAGTTTTGGTAATCCCGCACCTCCTCCTAACTTCCAAACTACGAATTCTCTGCATTATATTCACACCACACATTGCCCTCAGACATGACATCTCCACTGCCTCCAGCCTTCTCCTCGCTGCAACATTCATCACCCACGCTTCACACCCATATAAGAGCGTTGGTAAAACTATACTCTCATACATTCCCCTCTTTGCCTCCAAGGACAAAGTTCTTTGTTTCCACAGACTCCTAAGTGCACCACTCACTCTTTTTCCCTCATCAATTCTATGATTCACCTCATCTTTCATAGACCCATCCGCTGACACGTCCACTCCCAAATATCTGAATACGTTCACCTCCTCCATACTCTCTCCCTCCAATCTGATATTCAATCTTTCATCACCTAATCTTTTGTTATCCTCATAACCTTACTCTTTCCTGTATTCACCTTTAATTTTCTTCTTTTGCACACCCTACCAAATTCATCCACCAATCTCTGCAACTTCTCTTCAGAATCTCCCAAGAGCACAGTGTCATCAGCAAAGAGCAGCTGTGACAACTCCCACTTTGTGTGTGATTCTTTATCTTTTAACTCCACGCCTCTTGCCAAAACCCTCGCATTTACTTCTCTTACAACCCCATCTATAAATATATTAAACAACCACGGTGACATCACACATCCTTGTCTAAGGCCTACTTTTACTGGGAAAAAATTTCCCTCTTTCCTACATACTCTAACTTGAGCCTCACTATCCTCGTAAAAACTCTTCACTGCTTTCAGTAACCTACCTCCTACACCATACACTTGCAACATCTGCCACATTGCCCCCCTATCCACCCTGTCATACGCCTTTTCCAAATCCATAAATGCCACAAAGACCTCTTTAGCCTTATCTAAATACTGTTCACTTATATGTTTCACTGTAAACACCTGGTCCACACACCCCCTACCTTTCCTAAAGCCTCCTTGTTCATCTGCTATCCTATTCTCCGTCTTACTCTTAATTCTTTCAATTATAACTCTACCATACACTTTACCAGGTACACTCAACAGACTTATCCCCCTATAATTTTTGCACTCTCTTTTATCCCCTTTGCCTTTATACAAAGGAACTATGCATGCTCTCTGCCAATCCCTAGGTACCTTACCCTCTTCCATACATTTATTAAATAATTGCACCAACCACTCCAAAACTATATCCCCACCTGCTTTTAACATTTCTATCTTTATCCCATCAATCCCGGCTGCCTTACCCCCTTTCATTTTACCTACTGCCTCACGAACTTCCCCCACACTCACAACTGGCTCTTCCTCACTCCTACAAGATGTTATTCCTCCTTGCCCTATACACGAAATCACAGCTTCCCTATCTTCATCAACATTTAACAATTCCTCAAAATATTCCTTCCATCTTCCCAATACCTCTAACTCTCCATTTAATAACTCTCCTCTCCTATTTTTAACTGACAAATCCATTTGTTCTCTAGGCTTTCTTAACTTGTTAATCTCACTCCAAAACTTTTTCTTATTTTCAACAAAATTTGTTGATAACATCTCACCCACTCTCTCATTTGCTCTCTTTTTACATTGCTTCACCACTCTCTTAACTTCTCTCTTTTTCTCCATATACTCTTCCCTCCTTGCATCACTTCTACTTTGTAAAAACTTCTCATATGCTAACTTTTTCTCCCTTACTACTCTCTTTACATCATCATTCCACCAATCGCTCCTCTTCCCTCCTGCACCCACTTTCCTGTAACCACAAACTTCTGCTGAACACTCTAACACTACATTTTTAAACCTACCCCATACCTCTTCGACCCCATTGCCTATGCTCTCATTAGCCCATCTATCCTCCAATAGCTGTTTATATCTTACCCTAACTGCCTCCTCTTTTAGTTTATAAACCTTCACCTCTCTCTTCCCTGATGCTTCTATTCTCCTTGTATCCCATCTACCTTTTACTCTCAGTATAGCTACAACTAGAAAGTGATCTGATATATCTGTGGCCCCTCTATAAACATGTACATCCTGAAGTCTACTCAACAGTCTTTTATCTACCAATACATAATCCAAAAACTACTGTCATTTCGCCCTACATCATATCGTGTATACTTATTTATCCTCTTTTTCTTAAAATATGTATTACCTATAACTAAACCCCTTTCTATACAAAGTTCAATCAAAGGGCTCCCATTATCATTTACACCTGGCACCCCAAACTTACCTACCACACCCTCTCTAAAAGTTTCTCCTACTTTAGCATTCAAGTCCCCTACCACAATTACTCTCTCACTTGGTTCAAAGGCTCCTATACATTCACTTAACATCTCCCAAAATCTCTCTCTCTCCTCTGCATTCCTCTCTTCTCCAGGTGCATACACGCTTATTATGACCCACTTCTCGCATCCAACCTTTACTTTAATCCACATAATTCTTGAATTTACACATTCATATTCTCTTTTCTCCTTCCATAACTGATCATTTAACATTACTGCTACCCCTTCCTTTGCTCTAACTCTCTCAGATACTCCAGATTTAATCCCATTTATTTCCCCCCACTGAAACTCTCCTACCCCCTTCAGCTTTGTTTCGCTTAGGGCCAGGACATCCAACTTCTTTTCATTCATAACATCAGCAATCATCTGTTTCTTGTCATCCGCACTACATCCACGCACATTTAAGCAACCCAGTTTTATAAAGTTTTTCTTCTTCTCTTTTTTAGTAATTGTATACAGGAGAAGGGGTTACTAGCCCATTGCTCCCGGCATTTTAGTCGCCTCATACGACACGCATGGCTTACGGAGGAAAGATTCTTTTCCACTTCCCCATGGACAATAGAAGAAATAAAAAAAGAACAAGAGCTATTTAGAAAAAAGAGAAAAACCTAGATGTATGTATATATATATATGCATGTGCGTGTCTGTGAAGTGTGACCAAAGTGTAAGTAGGAGTAGCAAGATATCCCTGTTATCTTAGCGTGTTTATGAGACAGAAAAAGAAACCAGCAATCCTACCATCATGCAAAACAGTTACAGGTTTTTGTTTCACAGTCATCTGGCAGGACGGTAGTACTTCCCTGGGTGGTTGCTGTCTACCAACCTACTACTGTTGTGGCCGTATATATACGTCTTACGAGGTACCGTGTTTGACGTATATATACTCATAAATTCTAGCGGCTTCAAACCAAGCAGGAGAAAGCTGGTAGGCCCACATGTGAGAGAATGGGTCTGTGTGGTCAGTGTGCACCATATAAAAAAAATCCTGGAGCACGCAGTGCATAATAAGAAAAAAAAACTCCGACCGTTTTTTTTTTTAATTAAAATGCCGACTTTGTGGTCTATTTTCGTATAGTATTTATGGTTGTATTCTCGTTTTCTTGGTCTCATTTGATAGAATGGAAAACATCTTATAGAAATAGAGGTGATTTTGATTGATTTTACTATAAAAAGAACCTGGAAATAGAGCTCAAAGTAGGGGAAATGTTTGATTTTTGGCAATGTTCAAAAGTAAACAGATGATGTCATTGTCCAATAAATGTCCAACTAGCCATTCTAATATACAGTCATGAATGGGTTGATGTTATTTATACAATTATTACAGTATTGCAGTAGTCTGCATAATAGTAAGTCTTCTATTTTTTGTTTGAATAAAAATTCAAAATAGAAAGCAAGAGTAATATCAGAGGGGCCTGGAGACATGACTGATGAACAAAGAGAATGTTATTTTAGAGCTGGGAATGTCTGCATTGTTCATTCTGGACTTTATTTTGAAATTGTCATATTTTTTAATTTTCATGAAATTGGTCAAATTGCAAATTTCTGACCACATTATTGGGTAGTTGAAATTGGTAAATGGGCAGTTTCTCATACTCAGTCGATAGGAAAAATGGAGTTCTAAAGAAATAGCTATGAGTTTGGTCGACTGAAACAACAGAATTAGCCGAAAATAGGGCTCAAAGTGGGCGAAGTTGCCGATTTGTAAATATCGCCGAGGTCGCTAACTTCGTGAGAGCATAATTCCGTCAGTTTTCCATCAAATTTCGTTTTTTTTTGTGTCATTACAATTGGGAAAAGATTCTCTATCATTTCACAAGAAAATTTTTTTTTTTTTTTTTTTAAATTTTGCGACACCAGGAGACACCTCAGGATTGGGGGTTGCGACAGTCAAGGGGTTAAAAATATACTTATAAAAGCACTTACAAAAATACACTTACATAATTGGTTGTGTTGGGAGCAGTTCGATTTTTGAGGTTCCACTGTATTTATGCATTGGTGATTTTTGCCCAATTTGACTCCTATTTTAAGCCAATTACATTATTCCATTCGACCAAATTCTTAGCTATTTTACTAGTATTACAGTGGAACCTCAAATATCGAACTTTCTTCGGTCCAGAAGGCTGTTCGAGTGCCTTTACCGAATGAATTTATTCCCATCAGGAATAATGTAAATTAGATTAGTCCATTTCAGACCCTCAAAAATACACTTAGAAAAGCACTTACAAAAATACACTTACATAATTGGTCGTGTTGGGAGCAGTTTGATTTTTGAGGTTCCACTGTATTTCTATTTTATTGAATGAGCACAAGAAATTGTCCAATCAACTATTTCAACTACCCAATAAAGTGATCAGAAATTGTTAATTTCTGATCACTTTATTCCAGTTTTAAAATATGGTCCAGAATAAACAGTGCAGGCATTCCTGGGACTAAAATAATATTTCCTCTGTTTATTAGTTATGTTTCCAAGCTTTACAGATGAATTCCATATTGATTTTTTATTTACATAAAGAATTTTTATTCACACCAAAAAATAGAAGATTTACTGTTATGCAATATTGTAATAATTGTATAAATAATATCGGTGCATTTATGAACATATACTTATAACAGTAAAAACCATGTGAAAATACACCGCAAAGTGCGTGTTTTAATCCAAAAAAACACGATCGCTTTTTTTCTCATTATGCACTACGTGCTGCAGGATTTGTTTTATATGGTGCACACTTACCACAGAGATGCACTTTCTCGTATCGAGGCCCAAATTTACCGCTCACAGCTTATCTGAGTGAGATGAGCTCATGATAGATCTATGGCTTGGACCCTCAGAGGTTTAAATAGGACTGGGCTTTGAAATGAGCTGAGGTAGGCTAACTGCTCTTAGCCTGTAAAACTGATGCGTAAAAAATTCATTATATTCACAATAAGAAAAGACAGCGAATGTATGACAGGTACAATTTCAGGTATGATTTGTTTTTTCAAACTGATTTGATGCCTTCAGTTTTATAAAATAATTGAAAGGGATTGGTGAAGATTCAGGAAGTTACTTAGTTTCAGTAGAAATATAATGGAACAGGATGAGTAATTAATATTTTAGGGGAGTAATAAAATTTCTGTGGGAGTTGGAGGAAGACTGGAAGAACAGGGACAGAGTTGGATGAGCTGGTTTTGTTTGATATAGTGT